TCCCCGGCTCCACCAAAGATAAAATAAAATAAATAATAATAATAATAATAATTTCTTCTCAACTTTTGGGCCAGGGAGATAGCTCAGTAGAATAAGCACTTGCCTGATAAGCACAAGGTCCTCAGTTCAATTCCCAGTACCGAAAAAAAAAAAATAAATAAATAAACACACAAGTTTATCTTTTCTTATGGAAGAGTCTAACAATGCTTTACGCCTTACAATCCCATAGTAGCCTGCATGTCGCTCAACTCATTAACGCCCCCCACTGGGTGGGTAGAATAGTAAGTCAATGACAGCAGGTGCCATATCGGGTTTACCATTTCATCTCTACCTAAGAGAATACTTAGCACACAGCGGCTAGTCAATAAATACTTGAATATTAAACATGAAGTTAAAAACTCTATCAAAGTCAACAGCTTTATACGAGGCATGGTGGTGCATGCCTGTAATTCCAACTCTTGGGAAGCTGAGACAGGAGGACTACTGCAAATTCAAGGCCAGTCTGGGCTACATAATGCATCCAAGGCCAGCTCTATCTAAAAAAATAAATAAAATAAAACAAAACAAAATGTCAACAGCTTTACCTGAGTTATTTTAGAATGAGGAAAAATCACAATTCATGGACAAAGACTACTATCCACTTTTCCTAGTCAATTCTTTAACACAGAGAAAAGTTAATCCTTTAAAAAATATTCCCCTAAACAACCAATGTTTTACTCAGAAAATTGAGAGATAAAAGAGAGAGTAGCAGGTATGTATTCTGTTGAGCTGAGCATGGTGGCTCACACCCATGAGGCCAGTGCTTGGGGGAGGTCAGGGGAAGGCCGCTGCAAGCTCAAGGCCAGGATGGGGTACATAGTGAGTTCAAGGCCAGCCTGAGCCACACAGTGAGGTCCTGTCCCCAAAATAAACAAGAACATAGTGTCTTCCCTATAAGAACTGTATTTCCAGTCAAATAGCCCTATTACATGAGTGAAAGTTTTTCTTTACAGAATTCCATACAGTAAATGGGGAAGACATGACAGGGAAAAAACCCACCACGTTGCAAACCCTCATGAAATAATTTACTCATGTAAAGCCCATCAGTAGATGAACAACTATGGAATATTAGACACGCTAACAGGATTTACAGTAGAGGGGCCACACTGTCACCGTTCAAACCCACGGATCAATCCTGCAGCAGGAACAGCAGGACGACTGGGCATGGTGTCTTACACGGTAGGAGGCAGATGACATCCACAGCACCATCTACACGCTACAAGTGCCAGTAAGCCGAACTTCAACAGAAGAAGCTTTAGAGTTAACATCTAATTTACAAGAAACACAAAAGACAGGAACAAGTTAAATGAGGAGAGGGCAAAGCCAGGATGTGGGATGTTCTAAACTGATAGATTTTTACCAAGTTTAATGGCATGGGGTAGGGAAGACTGCAGGAAAGAATGCACTAGAGCACGGCTTCTCAACTCAGCGGGGCTGTGCCCTCCAGGGTACAGGTTAATGCCTGGAAATACTTCTGGTTGTCCCAACTGGGAACCCACCCGGGCACTTGCCAGGCAGTGAACAGGGCCACTCAGCAGCACTCCACAGTGCACAGGACAAACCTCCCACAGCTGAGAATGAACCTGCCTGAAATGTTAGAGGGCAAAATCCTCACCTATACTCAGTCTACTCAACAGCCTGTTTTGAATTTTGATTTGAATGAACCAACAAAACATCACTGATATCAAGGAATTATTTTTGTCAGCACAAGGAGAAATAGGGTAAATCTGAATGGACCAAGTAGTAGATTAAAGAAACACTAAAAACAAAAAAAGAAACAACAACAACAACAACAAAACCCTAAGAAACACTTAATATTTTTAGATATTATACTGTGTTTCCATCAGAAAAGATGTATTTTTCCTTTACAGACACCTAATTAAACGTGTAGGAACCGGGTGTGGTGGTGCACACCTGCAATCCCAGCACTTGGGAGGCTAAGCCAGGAGGATCTCTGAGAGCTCAAGACCATCCTGGGGGCTACAAAAGTGAGCACGAGGTCAGTCCAAACTGCATAGTGAGACCCTGTCTGAGAGAGAGAGAGAGAGAGAGAGAGAGAGAGAGAGAGAGAGAGAGAGAGAGAGACGCGATGAAATAAGATCTAAGATTTGCTTTACAGTTGAGTGCAGTAGCAGGTACCTGTAATCCCACTGGAAGGCTGAGACAGGAGATTCAGGGTTAGCCTAGTCAACATGGAGGGGCTATTTTAAAATATTTCAACAGTTGGGGGCTGGTGAGATAGCTCAGAGGTCTAAAGCACCTCCTTAGGCAAGCCTAGGCAGATGCAGGGGACCACAGTTCAATCCCTAGCACCACATGCCATGCCAGCCCTGCCCTCAGGGTGGGCTGAGGCAGCCAAAAAAAAAATAATAATAATAATAATAAAATATTTCAGAGGCCGGGGAGATGGCTCAGTGGAATAAGCGCTTCCCTGGCAAGTTCAAGGGCCTGAGTTCAATCCCCAGTTCTGCCAAAAAAAAATTTCAACAGCAACAATAAAAACAGCCTTGGTGACATAAACATGGCAACATCTTAAGAGGCACCAAATTCAAATGATAGGCATTCCTAATCTTCTGCTCTACTTCAAAAATCTTTCTGTGTAAAATAATTCAATTTTGTATTCATAAAATATGAATGAAAAGTATGCAGAAGGTTTATCAGAGATCAGCACTGGCATGAAGACATGCTTATCACATCATAAACCGAAGTATCTTAAGGCTAAAGGACAACAGTTCCTGACTCTTACTGAACAAACCTTGGTGGAGAGTCTACTGACAGCAGGACACGGTTGCAGGAGCGAGAGAGGATCAAACAGGTAAGGAAGATGGCTCTGTCTGCGTGGGACGTTACGTCTGAGAACTGCACCAAACCAGACCGACAAGCAGTCATAGCACCAAAGGGACTCTGTATTTAAGATGTGACTTAAAGTAACAGAACTTTAGGGGGAGAGCAGGGTGAAGAAAGTGGGATGAATCCAAGACAGAGGTGAGGAAAGCCACTTTTTTAGGTCTTTTCTTGACAGGGTCCATGCACATTCTTTGAGTCTCATTTTCCATCACTTTCTTTCTGCTTTTCACTAAGGAAATGGAGGCACTGAAAATTCAAGGCACTGAATGAAGTTCATTACAGATCAAAATATAAGGAAAAGCAAAGGAAGCCAGGTGTGGTGGCACAAGCCTGCAATCTCAGCCCTCAGGAGGCTGGAGCAGTAGGATTGCTGCAAGTTCGAGGCTAGCCTGGGGTACGTAGTGAATCTGAGGCCTGCCTGAAGTACACAGTAAGACATGGGGGGTGGGAGGAGAAAGGGAGGAAGGAGAGAGAAAGAGAGGAAGGTTAAGAAAGAGTGAAGGAGAGAGAGGGAGGGAGAACAAGGGAGGGAGAGAGAGAAAGAGTATTTATATTACGTCCAGTCTGACATAAGCCTGGAAAACTCCAATTTATTTGTTTCTCAATACAGCCAGAAAAAGCCTGGTTGAGGTGAGGAGATAAAGGTCATATTCTGGCTTGAACTGAGAAAGTTTAGCAACAAAAATACTGGAAATTTCAGAAAAGAAAAGATAACAAGCTGGGCACAGTGGTGTGTGCCTGTAATCCCAGTACCAGTAAGGCTGAGGCAGGAGGATCTTTGCCAGTTTGAGACCAGCCTGGGCTACAAAGTGAGCTCAAGGCCAGCCTGAACTACGTAGCGAGATCCTGTCTCAAAAAAGACAAAAAGAAAAAAAAAAGCGAGCAAGAGAGAGAACAAAAATTCCATCTCTATTAATAGAGCAATGAGAAACGATACAATTTGGTGTAATCTGAATGATACAATTTGGTGTAATCCACAAGAATCACTGACTCTGTTTTGTCCCCTATCTCAAACATTTCCTCCTGATGACATGCCACGCATCATTTCTTAGCACAACCTGCTTCTGTTCTTAATTTCTAATACTAAACCACTATAAAATTAGAACACTTCCTCTGTGGTGAAAATCTTTTATATGTAAATCCAAACCTGTATATCACAAGATTCTGCTTTTTCCTTGTTCATACTAAAGTAGGAGGGGAAAAAAAAAGAAAGAAACTAAAGTAGACCAGTAATTGTACAAGTGTGGATTTTAAGAAATCATAACAAATGATCTATTCCGCTTCAGTTCTATCTTCCCTCTCAGGGGAATCTATTTATTCCTACTACCCTGTCAATCTTTTCTGTGGGAAGCACTCCTTCCAACAGAAATTTAGAGGGACAGCTTGCTCAGAACAGTCATCACACAACTTTATCTACTTATACGTATTTTTTCATCATGGTTACATCTCAAAGCTATTGTTTTGGAATGGTAATAAGATGTAGCAAAGAGACCATGTCTGAATACTGTCTTTAAGTAAAAAAATAGATAAATCAATTCCTAAAATGGATCAATAGATCTCCAAAGGCTCAAGTCTCTAGACATTTACCCATGCACTGCGAATGCACCCATAAACATAATTAGGATGCTCCGTTCTTTAACTCTTAATTCAGAAAGCTGATAACTACATTTCATCCTTCCTTTTTCCAGTAAGTTAACTGGCCATAAAGATTTACATGCATTTATATGTCAGCCTTGAGACGCCCCCTTTTCATGTTGCCCACCAAACAGAAATTTTAATTTCAACTACAACTTTAAATCAAGGCTCTCTGCAACAAAACCTAGCAGGTCGACCAAAGGAAACCAACGCATATACAGCACCTGACAAGTAACTCTTGAGTATCCCACTATTCTATGGTGTCTAGACATATCTTCAAACACTGTTCTTTTACTAATCCACGTTTAGCTAATTAAAAACCTGGGCGTCAGGCCTCTCTGACTCTTAAGGAGTCCCCTGCAGTGTAAATGAGCTAGTCAATACCTGCTGAGTTGGGCTAGGCACTTACTAAAGCCTCGAGGCCCGCTCACTCAAGGCCTTCCAGGTCAAAGACGGGGCGCAGGCCGCTGCTCCCTTACCTGTGGAGTCATCGTAGAGGGATCTGGCTCGGGAGCAGCTGGCTGCTGCTCAGCACTTTTGTTCTTGGCCCCACTCTCCAAAGGCTCTTGCTGGACAGTTGTTTTACTCCCAGCAGGGACGGACGGTGGGGGGAGTAGCTGGGATTTAGAATGGCCCTGCGAGGGGCGGGAAGGAGATGCCTGAGAAGGGGGCAAGTAGGACTGGGAATGGCTCAGAAAGGACTGCGAGGAGGAGGAAGAGGAGGAGGAGGAATAAGAAGAGGTGGGCGCCAGGTAGGGCTGGGAAGGTGGGGACTGCGAAGGGGACGGCTGAGCTGGGGGCAGGTAGGGTTGAGACGAAGAGGGGGGATAGTAGGAGGGCGGTGGCTGCGGCGGGGGCATATAGGACTGGGATGGGGGCATATAGGACCCGGGCGGGACAGGGGGCGACTCAGGGGGGGAATCCAGCTCCATTGGAACCAAACCCGGAGGTCCATCCCGCTGGTGGTGGAGCATCTGGTGTTTGTACTGCTGCTGCTTTTGATAGCTGAGGGCCGGTCCGGGCGGCGGCGGCATCGGCGGCGGCGGCGGCTGCCAGTCTCCGTAGCCGCCCCCCGGCAGCACCGGCGGGGGTGGCAGCGGCGGCGGAGGAAGGTGGTGGGGCTGCAGCACGCACTGCATTTGCTTCTGGTGCATTTGCTGCAGCTGCTGGAGCTGCGCCAGGTGTTGCTCGCGGAAGCTCATGAAGCCCGAAGAGGAGGGGGCCGCGGGAGCCGTCGAGCCCGAGTACCCGGGCCCCGGCGAGGCCTCAGGAAGCGCCACTGGTGGCGGCGGCGGGACCGGCGGCGGGGGGTAGTGGCTGCTCCCGCCATACCGGCCCCAGTTCGGGTACATAGCGAAAATGAAGACGCAGGGCTCGTTCTGGCGCCGTTACTCGCCGCAACCGACCTCCAGGAGCCGCGGTGGCGACGGCGACAGCCGGAACTCGCGGCGGCTACAGGCCCCGGAGCGTGTAAACGGAGCGCGCCAGTGCGCCGGCGCTACCGAGCGGGTCTGCGGCCGGGAAGGCGGGGACCGTAGCGGCGCGACTACGCCTGCGCAGTAGCACCGAGAGCCGAACAAAGGCGAGATAGAGCGACCCTTTGCTTGGTGACTCGCGGTTTCCACCTTTCGTCAAGTTTGGGTAATGCAGGCACGAGTAGCATGTTCTCATAGAAACGAGGAACCATAGAGTCTCACAACCGAAAGGGATGGTAGAGATCCTATCGCTTTATGGGTTCATTTTTGAATGAGAGGGAGAGAGGAAAAAAAAAAAAAAAATGAAAGAAAGAAAAGAAAAGAAAAGAAAAAGAAGAAAAAAAGGTTCTGTTCACAATAGCAACAATCACAGCAGCATCAACACCAGAAAATCAAAACAAGGAATAACTCTAATAAGAAATGTAGCGCTTACATGGAGAGCTACAAGATTATAGCTGAGAATAAAATTGCGCTTGAAATAAAGGACTATTATTCTGAGTAAAAAGAGAGAAAATTGGAAAGATGTCAATTTTTCCCAAATTACATGAATACACTTATAAATTCTATCCCAAAGTCCAACTGGGAATGAGGTGGCGAAAAAAGGAAATGTATTTTAAAGACAGAAGGTAAGACTGCACCAACTCCTGCAGGCCTATATAATAGGCAACATCTGCAGGTATTGTAAAAGAGAGAAATTATGAAAATTGAATTTTTTAGGTTATTTTAATACAAAAAAATGTTGGAGAAACAGACATCAAGCAAAATTAAAAAAAAATACACAGATTTATAGAAAAGTCGACCTAGAACATAATCTTCCTTTTTTTTTTTTTCCCTGGGGGAACTAGAGAGTGAATTCAGGCCCTTGAGCTTGCCAGGGAAGAGCTTATTCGACTGAGTTATCGCCCCAGCCCAATAATCTTCCTAAAAATCTCCCAGCATATTAAACAAGAACTTCTTTGGCTTAAGTGAACCACTGAAAAGCAAAGGTGGTACACGAATTCTGAAAAAAAGGTACCTAACTTTGAGAATAGTGTGTCAAGATATTGTGCGGGCCAGGGAGAAAGCTCAGTGGCATTAGCGCATGCCTAACAAGCACAAGGTTCTAAGTTTGGTCCCTGGTACCAAAAAATAGAAAAAAAAAAAAAAAAAAAAGATGTCATTGTGTACCACTTAAAGATCTGACTTCACTGGCATCTTAGCAACCCAGATTTTCACCGCTTTCAGGAGACCAATGTGCATGGAAAGTTGCACAACTAGATATCCTTCTGAAAGAAGAGCTCCTCAAGTTGGGATTTAATTGTATGCCTTTTAATTTTTTTATTGAAGCATATGCATAAACATACAGCATAGTGAATTTTTGCAAACCAATCACACTTGTGAAACCAGAGCCCAAATAAGAAACAGCACATTATCAACCTAAAAATTCAAATTAGCTGTATTGTTAATATTTTTTAAAGTTCTCCTTTAAAAATATTAAAAAAGTGGGGCTGGTGAGATGGCTCAGTGGTCTAAAGCACCTACTTAGAACAAGCTAAGCAAAAACGCAGCGACCTGGGTTCAATCCCCAGCACCACATGCCAGCCAGCCCCGCCCCCTGGTGTGCTGAGCTGGCCACACACACACACACACACACACACACACTAAATAAATAAATAAATAAATAAATTTAAAAAAAATAAAAATATTAAAAAAGTAATTCACTATAGTAACAGACTAAAGGAGAAAATGTGATCATCTTGTTAAAATGCAGAAAAATAATTTTTAAAAAGTTTCAAATTATCTTTTTTAACGTTAAAATTTCATGTTTTTGTTTTTTGGTCTTTGGTTTTTTTGTTTTGTTTTGTTTTGTTTTTTGCTTTGATACAGGGTCTCACTATGCAGTTGGGGCTGGACTTGTGCTCACTTTTGTAGCCCCCAGGCTGGTCTCCAACTCACACAGATCCTCTTGGCTCACCCTCCTGAGTGCTGGGATTACAGATGTGTGCCACCACACCCGCATCTGGGGACCCCAGGCTGAGACTGCACAGCATTTGGGGCTGGGGATTGAACTTGGGTCCTTGTGCTTACCAGGTGAGCTATTTCTCCAGCCTCTAAAATTTCATGATTTTTATTCATTCATTTATTTATTTATTTTGGCAGAACCAGGGATTGAACTGAGGCCCTTGCGCTTGCCAGGGAAGCACTTATTCTACTGAGTCATCTCCCCGCCCAATTTTATGATTTTTAAACCAAGTGTGGTGACCTACACCTGTAATCGCAGGACTTACAAGGTTGAGGCAGTGCTACCCTGAGTTTGAGGACAGCCTGAGCTAAATAGTGAGTTCAAGGCCACCTGAGCCACAAAGCAAGACCCTGTCTCAAAATACAAAACAAAAAAATAAAGAGACAAACAAAAAACAAGAAAACAACAACAAAAATTTACAACTTTTTGAAAAGCTTGGTGTGGTTTACATCTTGAATGTTCTCCAGAGAACCTAAAATGAAAGGCTTTGTTAACAACTTGTAATGTTCTATGGAGGTGGTGGAATCTTTAGGGTTGTTTTCTTTTCCTTCTTCTTTTTTAAAATCAAACTCAGGATCTTGCTCTTGCTGGGCAGGCGCTCTTGCCACTGAGCTATACCTCTGGCCTGCTGGTGGAATCCTTAGTAGGCGTCAGCTAGAGCTAGATCCTTGAGGGTGTGGCCGTGGAGAGGGTGTGGGGGTCTTGGTCTGTTCCTCTTTCTCTTTGCTTCTTGGCTGCCAGGAAATGAACTGGCATCCTTACCACCTGTCCCTAACAGGACACAGTGTGCTTCTTCAGCAGGTGTAGGTTGAAAACCCTGAAACTGTAAGCCGAAACAAGCCGTTCTTCCTTTAAGTGGGATAATAGATTTATTTATTTATTTTAGCAGAACCAGGGATTGAACTCAAGCCCTTGCGCTTGCCAGGGAAGCACTTGTTCCACTGAGCCATCTCCCTGGTGGGATAATAGATTTAGCAAACAAAAACTACAAGGCAACTTAAAGCTTGGCATGGTGGTGCTTTCCTGTAATTTGGGCACTAGGGGAGGCTGAGGCACCCCATACTGTGTAAGACCCGATTCAAAAATGTAAAGAAGGGGCCGGGGAGATGGCTCAGTAGAATAAGCGCTTCCCTGACAAGCACAAGGGCCTGAGTTCAATCCCCGGCTCCACAAAAGAAAGAAAGAAAGAAAGAAAGAAAGAAAGAAAGAAAGAAAGAAAGAAAGAAAGAAAGAAAGAAAGAAAGAAAGAAAAGGTTTGAGGATGTAGCTCAGCACAAAAGCCATAGGTTTAATCTTTAGTACCAAAGAGAAACAAAGAACTTCCTTGATCCGATGGAGTGTCTACTGGAAACTATAGTAACTCCAGTGCTACAGCACTTGCCTAGTGAGGCCCTGGGCTCAATTCCCAGGACCTCAAAACAATCAAACAAAATAAAAAAATTATAGCAGAACTCACCCTTAATGGAGAAAAATTCAGTTTTCCAACTACAACAAAGAATAGATTTTCATATTATCACGATTGTGTGGAGGAGCATGGGGGTGAGGTGGCTATAAATATCTTTTTTTTTTTAGAATATGTACATATACAATTTTATTGCTTTTTTCCCCCATAATTTTATTGATAAACAAATAGCAATGAGACAGTTTCAAATCAAATTGGTAGGACAGTTTCAAAAATTGACACATTGCATACGTTCTTCCTACTGGTTAATTGCTGTACAAGATGCGGACTTGATATCCTATCTACAAACACCAGTAGAACAAATC